AACTTTATCCCCCTTTCCCAGGGATGGACTTCTTGCCTATCAAGACGCTTCCTTAATGACGGATCTTGGGATCCCGAGAGGTGGCATACGAAGAAGAGACTTCTTAGGGGTTTTTTTTACAGGGGTTTTTAATCAAATTTTAAGGGGGGTGGGGGGGTTGATTCGGATGGCTCAGACAGGCTTGGCGGGGGGGAGCCTGCCAGGGCACAGGCCAGAGCTAACTAATGGGAGCGGGTTGGGAGTGCTGGGAAGGGTTGGGATTCCGGGGGAGACATTAAGCCATTCCATCAGGGAGTTCACCATCTCTACTGTTTGTGGGAGAGGCAGATATGGTGGGGGCCTAGGGCCAAATTATATCCGGACCCTACCCACTCTCATGGCCTTCCGAAAGGCTATTAAGACCTGGCTATTCCAGCAGGCCCCGGGCTGTTGACCTCATGATTGAGGTCCAGCCCAGATTAGACTGGGTGTATGTTGTGGGTTTTTTTTAATCTATGTCTCTTTGTTTTAACTTTTCTATTTTTAAATGTATTTGTTGTAAGCCGCCCGGAGTCCTTTCGGGATTGGGCGGCCTATAAATTAATTAAATCTAAATCTAAATCTAAACTGACAGTGGTGGTCCCAGTGGTTATCAGCACACTGGGTGGCATACAAAAAGATCTTGGATGACACTTAGAAAATCTGCACCTTGACAAAATTTTCATCTGTCAATTACAAAAGACCACGCTGCTTGGATCCATGCATGTATTACGCCAATTCATTAGAACATCCTAGGTTATTGGAAAGAGGAAGGCCAACTTCCGCTAAAGATCTGGAAGCAGTGACTTCATGTTGTTGTGTTTATTATAATAGCCTTTTACTGTCAATGTTTAAAATTCAGAAAATTGCATTCCTTCCTTTTTTACATAACATAGTCAAATTGGGCTAGAAGTGGAATTTCCTTTTGCAAGTTTTACCAAGCTAGAATACCTGCCACGATGCTCTCGTAGTTCTTCCTCATGTGAAATGAATTATATGAATTTTTTTTTTTTTGAGGATGCTTGGAGGATTCAGACCACTGGGTGAATTCTGATGTAATGAAAGAACAATCCCTTTTGCCTAATGATTCATTCCCTGTGGGATGTTGGATATTCAGTTACTTTTCAGAAGCAACCTCACATTTCCTAAAATACTGTACAGTAAGGAAACTCATGCTAGGGAAATCAATCATTTTCCCCCCCAGTTTACACCAGGGGTGGGTTTCAGGCGGTTCGCGGCGGTCCCCGCGAACCGGTTGGTCGGTGAACCCGGAAGTAAGTAACTTCCGGGAACGCCGAAATGTCCACCCGCCCGCTCGCGTTTCTTACCCAGTTTTGACGAGTTCTGCGCTTCCACGCATGCGCAAGACGCATACAGCGCCTGCGCGATCCTCCAGGAGCAGCTGGAGCATCGCACAGATGCTAGTACGCATGCGTGCACTGTGCGCGTGCACGGGGACGCCGCCGTCCCCGTTCCAACCGAACCGGTTGGAACGGGGCGAGAAACCCACCCCTGGTTTACACTGAGGGTATGTTCATAATTGCCAAACTGGCGGGCCGCGGGCAGGATGCATCACGAGCAGACCACGCCCACACTGCCTCCACAAAGGCAAAAAATGTCACGATACGTCACATGATGCGAATGAGTTTGACACCTATAGTTTAGCTAAAGACAAGATAGACAAGATGGATAAGAAATTTCCTCTTTTCTAAAATATGCTGGTAGATATAAACCATATAATATCCCATGTTTATAACTTTTGGTTTCTCTTCTGATTGTATAAATCTTTCACCTTTTTCAAAACTTACGTTTTGATCTGTAACATTCTCAGAAGTGCATTTGGATCCACTGAGGACCTGGTGTCCGTCTGCTAATTGTCAGACCGTGTGCCAAATTGAACCAAGCGACTCTGGATTACCGGTGCCTATAAAATGTCAGACGTGTTACTTGACATTCTGTTCATCATGCAAAGAACCTTGGCATGTGGAGGGATCATGCTCAGAAAGCCATTTGGTGGGGAGTGCAAATGAGCAAGGGTAAGCGAAGAATCTGTCTACCTGTTGCGAAATTTTTCTATCATTCAAATTGCTATAAACACTATATTTCTTTAGCAAGAAATTACATTTCTGACCCTGGTTCAATAATGCAATTAATTAATTGTTTGCTAGTTGAAGGTAAGACATTCTGGGCTTTGATTGAGGCACCTCAAGTATTTGAAATGCTGCTTCAGCATTCTTGATTCTGGAAGGTCTGTCAGCCCAAATGACAGATTTAGGGATCAGGGTTAGCTAGGTAATAAGGCAATTTCTTGGTGGGCATTTCTTGGTGCAATCGAAGCTGTTTGCCTGGGTATAACTTCTACAGAGTAAATACAAGGAATTATTTAAGGGCTGTTTTGTACCTTATGAGGAAGCATGGATGAGAATTATATTTTACTTTCATATCAACTTGTTAAAACAGAATACTAAAGCAAAAAGAAGATGAACTTATCGGCTCATTTTCCCAGTGGAGGAAATATGTGAATGCCAACATTATCCAACCATTAAACACAGTAACAAAACAAATGGGGGACCTTCTGCTATTTTTGCAGGTTCCACCACAAAAGCGCGGAGGACAAAATCGCGCTCGACGAAATCGCGCATTTGACGTCATCACAGCGCGAAGAGACCGATGAGAGATCTTGG